GTGTTGTGCTCTGCTGTGTCCCCAGCACCTGGAACAATGCCCAGCGCACAGTAGGTGCACAACAGATGCCTGTTGACTGAGCACCTCCCCTGGGCCCAGCTCTGTGCTGAGGAGTTTATCCCCACGCAGCAAGGGAAGGGGGCATCCCCTCACTGTGCAAGCCAGCGGGGCAAAGTCAGCAGGGCAGCAGGACGGTGGGGAGTTGACTTGGTTTTTCTTCCTTCCCGAGCCCGTGGCCATGCCAACTCAGTGAGGAAAAGGGTCTCCGAGTGTTAAGTTAGACCCAGGAATATCTTGTCAGAGTCACCCCACAAACAGCATTGAGCCTGATGCCAGCTGTGTGGCTGCAGGGGTGAGACGAGATCCCTGACCTGCACTGGGGTGGTGGGGGGCGACACCCAGTAGGTGCTCAGTATTGGCTGAGTCAGTGACTAGGTGCTAAGGTTAGGCTCTCATGCTATTAATAATGGCTCACGTGGATCGTGCACGGCAAGGCTGGCTCTGTGGTTTCCTCACCGGCTAAATGGAAATAGCAGTCAGACCCCTTGGCTCTTCTTCATGCTCTCAGAGCCCCCTGGAGGTGGGGACTATTAAGTACCCCACTTTGCAGGTGAGGAAAGAAGGCCCTGGCTGCATTGAAGCCCAGGAGTACATTCTGGCCTCCCACTGTACTGTGGGCTCAGCAGGACCACTGTGTGTGATGATGCTGTGGGGGAGAGTGGATGTGGTCCCCAGGACGTGGTCTCTGAGCTGGCACCAGGGTGCTGATCGAGCGCCATTTTGGAAATAACCAGCAGAGGGCGCCCTTAAGCCACGATGCCTGCAGAGGGGCTGCACCTGCTCTTGGCTCCAGCCCTGCAAGGCTGTGGCCTCTGGGTGGCCTAGGGGCCAGGAATGGTGCCTTGTCCTCCGAGCCTAGGGCGTCCCGAACAGAGAGCTTCTCAAAGATGAGAAGTGGTGTGGCTGATCCCAGAAGAGGTGATGTGGGTGCTCAGGCCCTGAACCACCTGGCCTCTGCATGTCCTCAGACACGTCACCTCCCTTCTCTGAGCTTCAGTTTTCTCACTGGAGAGTGGCCATGGCCCCAGCATCTGCCCTGAGGGATGGAGTGAGGATTAATGCTATAGGGGGAATGGCACACTCAGCCCAAAGCCCGGCACGGGGGATGCTTCAGAAGGGGCGGCTGGTCTCTGGGAGGTGGCAGCAACCCTCACCTGTCCCAGTATTTACCCCCCAGGGCCCCAGCCAGCTGGCTCGCCTTGGCCACTTCTCACACGCTGGGCAGCCACTCGCCCCACGCCCAGTGTTGCGTTCCAAGAAGGTTGGTGTCATAGCTCCACTTTCCCAGCCGGGGATGCTGCAGCTGGGAGAGGACGGCCTCGTGTTCCCAGGCACCCTCGCTCTGGGTTTCCAGCCCCGGTTGTTAGGCTCCCGTCGGAGCCTGTTGAAGTCCTGGTGGCCCGTGTAGAGCAGTGAAATCAGGCCCCCTGGGAGCAGGGTCCCCCCAGCTTAGTATATTTTTTCAACTTCCTACGTGGTTGTAGGAGGCAGCCACAGTGGAAAACCACTGCCTTGGAGCCAGGCAAGGGCAGAACCAGGTTTCAGAGGGATTCCGCCTGACCTTATGTCACAAAGCCGCTGTGTTCCAGTCACAGGAAGGCCAGGTCCAGGAGGCCAGGCTTTCTGGCCCAGCCGGCTCTGTCTCCAGCACGGAGAACCGTGTGTGCCCCAGAGCAGGGGCCTGGTCAGGACCGGTGACAGCCACCAGCCCAGAAGCTTCCTGTGCAAGCTCCTCGTTGCATTGTCTCCGATAGCTCTGAGGATCTGGGATTCACTGCCGGCCTCCTCCCTCCTCAGGGCCTGGCCCCCTGGAATCCCAGCCAAGCCCTTCCCCTTAGGAAATGGGCCCTTAATGGCCCGAGACCAGCACATAATTAACAAATAACAATTCCGGCTTTAGCACAAATGAACTTCTTGTCTGGGGCAGGGTTGGCATTTGTTTTTAATCCCCAGAGTCAGCTTTATCTCCTGAGAGCTGTTTCCTCCTCCTGCTCAGCCACCTCTGCTCTGAGGCTGGGCCGCCCATGAGGATTGAGAGGGGCTGGGGTCCCAGCCTCCTTCTTTCCCACCTCTCCTCCCTTCTCTTCCTCGTCCTCCCCCCACTTCCTCCCCTGTCCTCCTCCTCCCCTCTCTCCCCACCTCCCTCCTCCCCCTCTTCCGCTCCCCTCCCCCTCTTCCCCTCCCCACCTCCCTCCTCCCCCCTCTTCCCCTCCCCTTCCTCCTCCCCCTTCCGCTCCCCTCCCCCTCTTCCCCTCCCCCACCTCCCTCCTCCCCCCTCTTCCCCTCCCCTCCCTCTTCTCTACCTCCAATATCTCTCCAGGGCCCACCGAGTGACCTGATGCTTCCCGATTAAGAATGTGGGCTTTGCTACGGAGCTCCCAGAACAGGTTAAAATACAGATGTGGGCCCTGGGAGGAGAGTGGCTTCTCTCTGTTAGCATTTATTTTAGGACTTGGGAAAATTCAACAAGGAAGGGGCCTGGGAGACAGAGCGGGGAACGCTCCCTGTCACAGATAACGGTAATCAGAGCTGGCTTTTGTGGCTGGTGCTCTGAGACGCGCTTTATGGATGATTCTAGAGGAAACTAGCAAGAGTTGAGCACCCTCTTGGCCCCCCCCCCCCCGGCTCGTTGGGCAGGTGCTTCCCAGGAATTCATTCATTCCATTCGTTCCATTCACTTGCTCAAGCCCACTGCCTGTCACCCCCCTGCAGCCGAGTTTGGATGTGGGGTTTGCTTTTGGCATTAAGGGGCCTCAGGCTTTCCAGGTTCCACTGTTACCTGTTAGAGCACCAGGCATGTCCCTGATCCAAACTCTCCAACTCCTGGGTGTTATAGAGCAGGGATTGGCAGACCCTAGCCCATGGGCCAAGTCTAGCTGCCCCTCCTGTTTTTTTGTAAATAAAGTTTTATTGGCACAGCCCCACCTCATTTACATATTGTCTGTGGCTGCTTCTGCGCTCAAGGGCAAAGGTGAGAAGTCCCAGCAGAGACTGCACAGCCCCCAAAGTCAAACATATTTACTGTTCGGCCTTTGCAGAAAGGCTCCCGGCTCTGTTACAGGGTCGTGGTTGCAAGAAGCACCAGCTTTTGGTCAGACAGACTCGGGTTTGGGTTCAGATTCTGCATCCGCCACACACTAGCTGTTCAACTCTGCGCAAGTTCTTGCCCTCTCTGGTCCCAGTCGCCACATCTGTGAGTTCGCACCTCACAGGGCAGCCGTGAAGACTGAAGGAGGAAGTGCCTTGGGGGCACCCCGTGTCTAGCACGCGTCAGATGATCGTTAAATGCCGACTGTTACGGGGATAACGATGGCTTCCTCCCAGTGGCTTTTTTTTATTTGCTTTACATTCCGGGTTTCTGTGTAAGATGGCAGGAAGAAATGGTTCTACTGCTTTAAAGAAGGTGTAAAAACCACTGCCTTCGATCAAGTTGGCAGCAGCCTTAGTGGGTTTTGAAGGATAAGTAGGAGCTCACCACCCTGACAAAGCTGGAAGGAGCGTTCCAGGCAGGAGGAGCAGCCCGTGCAAAAGCATGAGAGGTCTGGGGGGCCCAGGGCACTTGGAGATCTGTGAGTAGTTTGGGGAGTGTGGGCAGGTGGCAGGGAGTGAGGCTTCAAAATGAGTTTGGGCCAGATCGTGAAGGCTGAAAGCTGGGCTGAGGCTGACTTTAGTTATGATCAGGGTTTTGTGAGCTGTTAACAGGTGTTCCTCCAAAAACAGACTTGAGGTTATTTAAGTTCAGGAAGCCTAGGGTTAAGCACAATTAAAGCAGCTTCCTTACTGCAGGACTTCTCAGAGCCTTTAATTCTCGAACATGCATGAGGATCTCCAAGAGAAGAATACAGTAGGTGGGATTTAGCCAATAGTCAAATATATGGGGTTCCCAAACTCATTTGATCATGGAGTCCCCTTCCTGAAGGAGCCTGAGGAGGCCAGTGTTCCAGGGAACACACTTTGGAAAATGCTGCTTGTAGTTAGCTGTCAGGAGCCAGTGAATGTTCTAAGCAGGTACAAGGTGTGATCAGATTTGCAGCTTCTGGTTGTCATTTGGAGAGTGGGTGGATGAGGGATAAGCTGGGAGCAGAGGCTAGCTGGGGGCCAGAGGAAAGAGGAAGGATGTCACAGATACCACAGTGGTGGGATCTGCCGGCTTGGTGGTTGATCAAATTGGCTGGAGGGTGAGGAGGACAGGAAAGAATTGTGGCCGAGGCTGTGGTTTCTGGCAGATGGTGGTGGCACTGACACACGGGAAGAGTGGAAGAAGGGGTCCACGGAGGAGATGGTGCGAGTACTTTTATGTCAGCCGGAGATCAAAACTGGGCTGGCCAGGTTACCTGCCCTGAGTTCGTGGGAGACATAGGACAGCGAATTCAGCATCTTGAAGCAGACAAATTCCTTGATAAGTACAGCTTAGCAAAAAGGACACGAGTGGAAACAGAAAATCCCCATCTCTATTAAAGAAACCAAATTTGTAATCCAAAGTCTTTGCACAGAGAAAATTCCAGGTCCAGGCAGTTTCTCCGGCGAATTCAGCCCAACACTTAAGGACTAAGCAACACTGATCTCACACGGCCTCTCCCAGAAAATAAGTGGTGGGCGCCAGCTCCCCGCGCGGCTCCGAGTCACCCGGGCCCGCGTTCCGTTTCCGGCCCTGTCTCTTTCATCCACTCTGAGTCCTGTTTTGAGTTACCTACTGTGTGTCACACATGGAGGTGACGTGAGTGAACAAAGCAGAGGAAAGAGACTTAGGCGAGCTGGGGTGGATCACTTCGCCCTCCTGAGACTTGGTTTTCCACCCCTGCGAAGTGGGGACGTGGAGCCTTCAGGTCCCACGTTGCTGGTGGCGGGAGGCGGCAGGTGGTGGCGGGCAGTTCCCAGCGGCCACTGATGCTTGTCTCTGTCACGTGTGTACATGTGTGTCCCACGACCTGCCCTCTCAGGCTTAAAAATGTGTGTCAGCAGCAGCGGCAGCCACGACGAGGCCCCCGTCCTGAGCGACAAGCACCTGGATGTACCTAACATCATCATCACCCCGCCAACGCCCACGGGCATGATGCTGCCCAGGGACTCCCGGAGGGCAGGTAAGGCCCCCCCCGCCCCGCCGCCAGGCCAGCTCGGGTCTGGGGTCTGGCTGGGCACAGCTCACACGGGCCGCATCTGGACTGCATGTCTGCCCCACCTCCAGTTTATTAAAAATTTATACTGGGATCTGCATACACTTAACCCGTAGGCCTCGCTGTGGCACCAGCCTCAGCAAGACGTGGCCTGCTGAGTAATTAGCCAGACGGCCCCCGCCGGCAGCCGGCCGAGTGATGGCTGGGGCTGGGTGGCCGCTGAGGTGACTGATGGGCGCCCCTCACCCTGCAGCCGGGGGCCTGGGGCGCCACGTCACTGGCCGCAGTGGTTCAGCTGGACAAGACGGGCTTGGAAACTCACCTACGCCCCGCCTAGGGCCGGTCTCCGGGCCTGGCAGGTGCAGCTCGCTGCAGGGAGAAGAGAGGAGTTGGGATTGTTCCCAGGGAGTGGGTGAGAGGGGAGGCCCCACTGGCCCCTCTGTGGACACCGGTGGAGCCGGGGCTTCAGGTTGCTTTCATTCATGAGCAGATTTACTGAGCGGGACCTGTGCTGTGTGCTGCGGCTGCTGGTGTTAGTGAGAGCAGTGATTGTAATAGTAATAAGTAGTGATTATGGTAGCAGTAAGTGTATTTTTCTCTTGAGGCCTCGCAGTAACTGAGTTAGGTCCAGTTTTCATCCCGGTTTATAGATGGGTAAACTGAGGTTCAGGGAGGTTGAGACATTCGCTGCACAGCTGGTAAGCTGAGATTCAGGCCCAGGTGCTGTGATCTGGAACTTGCCCTCCAGACCCCAGGCTAGGCGCCCTCTCAGTGTGCCATTGTCCAGCCGCTGACTGTCGTGGTGTGAGCCCAGCCTGGCCTGTGCAGGGGCCACGGCCGACAGGGCTGACGTGGGGCTCGTGGGAGTCTGGTGGGGAACTCGGGTGGGCTTTTGCAGAAGTTCTCAGTTTGGATGCCCACCAGGGTGAGTGACCTGGAGGAAGCCATGGGCTCTGGGCCGGGCCCCCTGCAGGTTCTGGGGCTGGGCCTTGCTCAGTGGTGACTGATTGCCGTGGGTCACATTCCTGTGTCACCTTGTCAAGTGCCAGGCACTGGGCTAAATGCTTTTCACAAGTCTTACTTAATTCTCATTCCAACCCTATGGGCTGTGAGGATCACCATTCTCTCTACAGATAGGGAAACAGGTCCAGAGAGGGGCAGAGACTCAGCCAAGGTCACATAGCAAGGTGGGAGAAGAGCTGGACTCTTGTTTCAGTGTCTAATGGGAGAGCTCAGCACAGGCAGCAGAGGCCCGGGCTCTTGGCTCTGCCACTAAGCTCCCTTTCCTCTCTGAGCCTCAGTGGCCTCATCTGTAAAACGGGATCATGACCACCTTCCCTGCACCAGGGCCAGAGTGAGTGTAGAGGGGGCTCATGGTTACTCTACAAGGTCTGTGGGGTGAGAGCCTGGAGGCCCTCGGTGCCCACGGAGACGCCTAAACCCCTTTACGCGTAAGTGGTCCTGGGGTAGGTTGGTGCAGGGGGATCGGCACGGGGTGCCCTCCTGTCCTGTCGGTGGCAGAGCTCAAGTCTGACGCTCTGCTCTTCCCCGTTTAGAAAGGGGTGCAGGAGAAAGGGCACAGGCCGTAGAGTCGGGAGCCCTGACCTGGGACCCTGGCCCCACCAGGCAGCAGCACGTGGCTGTGAGCAGAGAGCTTTGCCTCCCTGAGCCCCAGCGCCCCCCCCCCGCCGTCGCACAGAGAGCGACAGTGCCCCAGAGAGGCCATGAGGATGCGAGACAAGGAGGGCCTGGCTTCCCACCCAGCACGGTTCCTGTGTTGTTGGTCTTCTCACCAGAGATACTTAGGGGAGAAGCAAAGACCCCCAGACCAGGACGGTGCTTCCTCCCGGGCTGTGGGCTCCGAGTGATGATCAGATACCTGGGGGTCCCCTGACAGCGAGGGCCTGGGGAGAGGCCTGCCCAGACCACCCTGCTGACCAGAAGCAGGTCTCCCCATCTCTGGGCCTCCACTTCCCATCTAGAATGGGAGGTGGATGTGTTGACCTTCTGTCCAGCCTGGGGCTTGATGGCATCTCCAGGATGGCACTCAGAAGAGGCTGAGCCAGGGTGGGACGCCGGGTGGGTGGGCAACAATCCCAGAGACTTCAGCCAGAGATCTGGGGGGCTCGGCACTGGGTGTGGGCAGAGGATGGGTGGGACGTCCCGTGAGACCCAGTGTCGTTGGGGTCCCCTCTCAGAATCTGCCAACATCGCTGCCTGTATGTGGCAGGGCTCGAGGCTGTGCTGTAAGGCAGGGAGCCCAGGGGCAGCGGCCCTGGAGCTCCCGGGAAGGGGGCCTGGATGTGGTGGGGGGTCCATCCAGATGTTGATTCTCCCTCTGCTCCTAGTGTGGCTGGATGAGACGGGGTCGTGCCCGGAGGATGGAGAAATAGACCCTGAGGCCTGAGGAGGATGCGTGGGTTGGGGATTCATCCGCACCGGCTCCTGCTCTGGCTGCGCCTTACTTCACGTGTCCGGGGGCCTGGGACGGATGCGCTGAGTAGCCAGATGGGAGAACAGAGCGATTCCGGCACTTGACCAGAGAGGAGTGGCAAGATGCACGAGGAGTCAGCCCTGCCCGCTTCCAGAACAATGTTTCCCAGGCCCCACTGAGTGGGCCGGACTCTAACGCCTACACGTGCTTGCTGACCCCCGGGGTCACGGTGACTGCCATCAGGGTGCCAGGGAGAGGCGCTCTTCTGGACAAACACAGACGCCCAGTGCCCTGGGCCATGCAGGCGGCTGCCCAGGAGGTCAGCACACACAAGAACTTCTTACAAAGGACGGGTTCCATTTTTCACAAGTTGTCTTACAGACAGAGAAACAGTCCAAAAGTGATTTATAATTTCCTTTTTGCATTATTATAAATAAAGACCCCGTGCCACGAGCAGTGGCCCCTGCTCCTTGGGGGGGCAGCGGAGGTGGCGCGCACCCAGGTGCAAAGGTAGGTTTCTGAGAATCGCTTGTCCCGGAGGGTCCGGTCCGGCTGGTGATGGGCCTTTGGACGGTCTTGGCGCCTCAATTTGCCGATGGCCCAGGAGGCCTGGGTGTGTGTGGCCAAGGGCACGGGCTCTGAAGTCACATGGACCTCGTTCGAGTTCCAGCCCCGCCATGCCTGCACACAGCTGCAGCATCCTGGCGATGCCGCGTCTCTAGGATGGGAGGTGGTGGGGTTTTTATGAACTTGCTGGTGTCGCCCTCTCCTCATGGACTGCTCGGATCGTGCACCTGTGTTTCTGCTTATTTTCCGCTGTTTCTCCTGGTCCTGGTTTGCCCACTCAGCGTTCTTCCTGAAGCAGGCCTGAGCCGTGACTTCGCAAGCAAGAAATGTATCTGGGAGGTGATCCTAGGGTACACGGGGTTGGGATCGGGGCCCCAAGGCCCCTCTCGGGCCCAGTGATTCACTAGAGGGACTCACAGAACTCAAAGTTTATAGTGGAGTTTATGGTTTATGACAGTGAAAAGATGCAGACTGAGAGGCGGCAGCAGGCGTGAGTGTTGGCAAAGGCATGCAGGCAGCACACGTGGGGGTCACCCCTCCGGGACGCTCACCGAGCTCATTTTCACTGGGGGTTGGCCACGGAGACGTGCGGTGGCTTCAGTCTCCAGCCCCCCCAGAGGTCAGGCTGATGCTGCGGGACCCAGGCCCACCACAGAGCACACTGTTCAGACTGTCCCATGTGGCTGAGGCCCCAGGCAAACAAAGGCACTCCTGTCAGGCGGGATATTCCAAGGGCCGAGAGGTCGCCGCCCAGGAGCAGAGGGCAAAGCCCAGAGCTCGGGGGACACAGGAAGGAGGGAGTGTGGGGCTCCCGTCCGTCCGCGCTCCCGCTGCCCGAGGGGAGGAAGGGGTCTGCGCACGTCACCTCCACTGATTGCTGGCCAAGGGCCGCCCTGGGACCCCCAGCACTTCCTGCCGGGCCGCGCGTGGACAGTGGGCTTGCGGAGGAGACACGGGCGCACCCCGGCCCGCTGACACGGTCAGGGCCTGCTCTGTGGGTGCAAGACCTGCAGGTCCCAGCAGAGCCCACGTTCCGGAGGCCCCACGCTTGGTTTCCTGCTCTGCTGTTGCCGTCCTGAAATTCTTTTTTTGGTATGTATATACTTTTATTGAAGTACAGTCAGTTTGCTGCGTGTCAGTTCCTGGCGTACAGCACAGCGCTTCAGCCATGCGTGACCACGCAGACACTCATTTCCATGTTCTTATCCACATGGGCTACTGCAAGGTACTGAATATAGTTCCCTTAGCTATGCAGTGTCAACTTGCCGTTTACCTATTTCATATGTAGTAGTTAGTATCTGCAAATCCCCAAGTCCCAATTTATCCCTTCCCGTCCCCTTCCCACCCCCATAACCATAGTTTGTTTTCTATCTCTTTGAGTCTGTTTTTTGTTTTGTAAATAAGTTCGTCTGTCTCTCTCTTTTTTGTTTTAGATTCCACATATAAGTGATACCATATAGTGTTTTTCTTACTCTTTCTGGCTTACTTCACTTAGAATGATACTCTCCAGGTCCATCCATGTTACTGCAAATGGCATTATTTTATTCTTTTTTATGGCTGAGTAGTATTCCATTGTATAAATACACCACAACTTCTTTATCCATTCATCTGTCAATGGACATTTAGTTTGCTTCCATGTGTTGGCTACTATAAATAGTGCTGCTATGATCATTGGGGTGCAGGTGTCTTTTTGAATTAAGGTTCCCTCTGGATATATGCCCACGAGTGGGATTGCTGGATCATATGATAAGTCTATTTTTAATTTTTTTTTGAATCTCCATACTGTTTTCCATAATGGCTGCACCAAACTGCATTCCCACCAACAGTGCAGGAGAGTTCCCTTTTTTTCAGAGGCAGAATTTGAACCCAGACCCCATAGTCTTACCAACCACATAAACCTCATAGAGGCTGAATGACTTACCAAGCACATATTTCTTTTTTTTCCCCAATTTTTTTAAATGGAGATACTAGGGATTGAACCCAGGACCTCATGCATGCTAAGCATGTGCTCTACTGAGCTTTCCCCTGATGGCCCCCAGTACGTATCTCTTGTTAGTTGTCCAGGCAAACCATCCCTTTCCTCCTGGATTCTCATTGAACTGGCATTTTGCCCCAGTCCTGTTTCCTCTGGAACTCAGGGGGTGCTGGGTCTCAGGGCTGGGGCTGGGTGCTCGCCCTGAAGCCTGGCTCGGTCCACAGGTGTGGGGAGCCCCCATAACTCCATGGGTACTGTTCAGAGACCTCTAGCCCACTCAGCAACCTGCTGTGGCTAATTACCACTTCGTCCCAGGCTGTTAGTGCCCATGGCAACAGGGAGAGGGCTGTGAGCTAGAGATGGGAGGCTGTGCAGCCCTGGGGTGCTGGACCTGGCTTTCTTGCAGGGCCCAGGCGAGCCCGTTGCTCTCCTGGGGAAAGGCCTTGGGGCCCAAGGCACCCACACCAGTCTTGGGCATTTGGGGCTTCTTAAATCTGAAGGGCTTGTCCCCGGTAAAGCCAGCACTGGGGATGCACCCCAGGACAGTGCCTGCTGGGCGAGGGCAGAGGCACCCTTCCTGGCGATATCTGCACCCCAGGCTGCAGGAAACCCCGTGACAGTGCTCGCTGTCCAGCACCTGTCCCTGAGGTTCTGGCTTCTAGCAAGCTCTAGCTCCCCATGAGGGAAGGGCTAGGTGGAGGGGCCCTGCTCAGCGCAAGGGCATGAGAGCAGGGGCAGGGCACCCCGCCGCAGCCCAGCGCCATTCTTAGGAGCTAGGAGAAACAACAGAGGGAGTGGGTTTAGTGAGGGCTTTGGTGTCAGCCAGACCTGCACTGTACAGTGTGACTTTGGAGCGTTACTCAACTTCTGAACCTTTCCTTCACCTGTAAAGTGAGGGTAACAGGACCTCCCACATGGGGCGCATCTGTAGATTAAGGGAAATAATCCATGTACAACCCTGCATGGTGCCCAGCACAGAGCAAACGGTCGATAAATGGGAGCCATGACCAGGCAGGTCACCTAACTCCCTGGGCCTCTGTTTGCTCATCTGGGGAATGGGGACAGCGCCACGGGGACCTGAGGAATCCATGACATGGAGGGTGTGAATGTGGGATGGGTGGCTAGAGCAACGGCTTCGGAGCAGAGCACCTGGGACCACGTCTGCAGAGGTGTCATCAGTGCCCCAGTTTATGTGACAGCAGGATTGTGCTGCAGCACCCGCACCTGCAAGGGCTTCCTCTGGCGCCAGAGCTGCTGCAGGGTTAGGGGGGCTCTCATGGCGCCTGGCAGTCCCTCTGACCCCTATGGATGGGAGTTAGCAGATAGGTACCCCACCTTCCCAGTCCCTTGTGGGGTGGTGAGGTCACTCTAAGAAATATTCTCATCTACCCAGGACTTCTGAGACTTGAATGTGCTCTCAGGGGGGGATCTGGTTCAAATGCAGATTCCATTTGGGGAAGTGGGGGGTGGTCTGCTATGGTGCGTCTCTAACCAGCTCCCAGGGCGGCCATGTGGGTCCAGGGACACACTTCCTAGCTACTTGAGGTTCCAGGGGTCTGAGCCCCGGGGGCAGCAGGAGAAACCTGCTCCTTGACCTGAACCGGCTCCTCTGGAGTATCCCCACCTTCGCGGGACTTCCTGGGCCTGCCTTCCGAAGAAGCCACTTCCACCTAAAGCCTGCCTCGGGGCCCACTTCCCAGCCTGTGGGTATCCATCCCTGCATTCCCGCTGGTCAGCTGGGCACCTGGAGCAAGTTGCTTTGCCTCTCTGAGCCTCACCTGCTTCAGTCTTCAAACGAGGCTAGCAGCTAGGTGGTTACGGGACCTAAAATCATGCCTGGTACAGGGTCTAAAAGTTCCTCTAGGATGTGCGCGATTCAGCTGGTGTTTGCAAAGCTGTGTTTGAGATCTGTGGTCCCAGCCTTTCGGGGTTGTCGGGTTCTACGGGAACGTGACCCTCCATGAAAGGTCAGGGGTGCTGTACAGGTCGGGGGGCCTCCAGAATGACAGTTTATTTTGAACCCCAAACATGGATCCCTGATTCTTCTTTCTTGAGTCTGTTCTTCCTTAAATACATTCTGGGGGAATGGTTACTGATGTCTGCAGTTTATTTTTCATTTATTTTTAATGCCAAAGCCACACGCACTGATGAAAACCCATAATGAAAAAGCTTGGTAAATGGCTCCCTGCAAAGTGTGTGTGGAGAGGCGGGGAGTGGGGCAGAGGTCACAGACCATGGTGACTCCAAGAGGAGTTAACAGCTCCAAGAAAGCCCATGACCCCAGCCCTGGTGTGTCCCGGAGAAGTTCCCAGGTCCCAAGAGGTGGGGGAACGTTGGGGTCCTCGACTTGGGATTTGTGCTGTTTGCCTCCAGGAGGGAGGGCTGGAGGGGAGAGAAGTGTGAAAACAGATGGAAATGTAGTTTTTTAATGACAGCAGCAGATGGTGAAAAGACACACGGGTGTATTCGCACCGTGTTGGAGCCGTTTGAGAGCGGCCGGCTCAGCCGTGATGGGCGCCGTGTGGATGGCGTGATGGTTCCCCCACCAAACCCTGGTGGCCAGCGGGATGCAAGGGGGCGGGGGGGACACTTCTGGGCTGTGTAGCGTCACAGGTAGAAGGGGAAGACCTGTGACCACCTGGGGGGGGTCCGGAGGCATCCTCGGCCTGGCTTTTCTGGACACCGGCAGGCAGTCAATGGCTCTGGTTCCCAGTAGTCCCTCCTCTTGGTCCCCGGGGCTGCTGCCCTAGGTCCGGCCATCACTACCAGCTTCCAGGTGAGTCTCCAGCTGCTAGACCGCATCCCCACTCCATCCCCCAGAGTTCTCTCTCTAAACTGCGAATCTGTTCATGTTTCTCCCCGAACTGTATCCCTCAAACGGCTTCCCGTTGGGCTCAGGATCTCGTCCAGTTTCCGGAGAGCAGCTTACACAGCGGCCCTGGAGAGCTGGCCACTGCTTGTCTGTCTCGCTTCACCTGCCACCGTACCCAGCAGGCAGAACACCTTGAGGGCTGTCATGGAAACATCACCAGGCGTGGAGCTTCCGCTCTGTGGCCCAGCTATGTCACTGCAGCTGAGAACCTCGCTTGCGTCAATCCCGCCCACCCTCCAAGGGCTCCAGGAGACAGGGATGTCAGACAGGTCACAGCTGGAGCGGCTGGGCCCCACCCATCAGAGCTGCTGCCGGCCAGAAACAGCAGGTGAGGTCAGGCTTGCAGGGGTCGTGCAACCTCAGAGACCGGAGAGGTGCAGAGAGGCGCAGGCAGCGCCCACAGACGCTCAGGCCCCTGGGACGTGGTAGGGGTCTAGTTAGGGAAGCAATCCTGTCCTACTGTGAGGGCCCTGCCCGGTACCAGCCCGTCGCCCCCCTCAGCCAGGGCAGGGGATGGGAGGGTTTGGGGAGGAGGTGTTTTCCATCCTGCATTTCTCTTTTGCTGCTGTGACTGTAATTCTAGCCCCTCCTTAGACGGGAGACACCAACAGCCGCAAGTCACTGCTTCCCCGAATGTCCTCCGGAGACCACGGGAGAGTGGCTGGACCGTCCGCTGTGGCTGAGGCCTGGGCCCCACCCAGAGTTTCTGATTCCTTCAGTCCAGGTATGGCCAGGGCATCCAGCGGGTGATTCTCATGCACAGGCAGGGCCGAGAATTCCTGGAGCTTCTCAGTCACCTCTTCAATTCTCCCCTGCAATTAATTCTTCACTTTCCTGGACCACAGCCTCCTCACTGTGAGAAAACCGCTCCCACGTGGCAGAGATTCAGAGCAAGAGGCAGACTGATCCGGGATAGAATGAAGGTGCTTGGGGTCTTTCCCAAATGTGCTCAGCCCTGGGACTCATCGAGGGTGCATCGAAGGCAGGAGTGAGTGCCCTTCAGAGGACCCCAGTCCCCCACAAAACTGTTTCCACCTGGGATTTGTGGCCTCCGTCCTGGACAGCATGACTACAGGACATTTCCAGCATTGCAGAAGAATCCATGCCTTTAAAATCAGAAGTCCAGGTTGCTGCTGTACTGTTCTGTTCTGCAGCCTAAATTCTACTGTGACTACAAGGTATGCACAGTGCTGACCCCCTGAACGGGGCAGGCGTTTCACGGCTGCTCAGTGATTTAGGTGCCCTGGAGCCTGCAGAGGAGGCTTCTTTAAACATTTTATTAAAGAGTAGCTTTAGATTTACAGAAAAGTTGCAAAGATAGAACAGAGGCTTCCGTATACTGCACCCCCAGCCAAGTTTCACCTGTCATTAACCCTTAGTCTTGTGTTACGCTGGTCCATTTGTCACAATTAACGAACCAGTTGTGATCCATGATTATTAACTAAGGTCCATACTTTATTCACATTTTCTCAGTTTTCCCCTAATGTTCTTCTTTGCTCCAGGTTCCGATCCAGGATCCAAGTAAGACATTTAGTTGTCAAGGCTCCTCAGTCTCCCCTGGACTGGGATGGTTTTGTAGACTCTTTTTGATGACCTGATGTTTGGAGGACTGGCCAGATGTCTGGAACTGTCCCTCTAGTAGGATTTGTCTGATGTTCTTCTCAGGATTAGCCTGGAATTGGAGGTTCGGGGAGGAAGCCCCAGGACAAAGCACCCTCCTCATACACCCTTCCGGGGAGCCTGCGGTCACCACGGCGGGTCATCGCTGATGTTGACTTTGGTCATCTGGCTGAGGGCATGCTGGTCAGGTTTCTCTGTTTTTCCCTGTTTCCATCTTGTCCTTTGTGGAAGGAAGTGGCCACAGGCGGCCCAGACTTTCGGAAGTGGTGAGCATCCATACACACCATCTGGAATTCTTCCCCAGGGACTCTTCCCCATTTGTTTTGTGTCCAGCTGTTAATTCATTATGGGCCATTCTGACCCCCTAGGGGGAGGCAGGTTTTACAACAGGAGACCATGGTGTGGGGGCTCTGACTGCTCCATCCAAAGCAGGACCCCATGCTCCCCCCTCCCCCACTTTACTTCTTGTCTGTCTACTCTGTCTTTCCCCCACTTCCAGAGGCCAGACTCTCAGAAGTCCTCTCTGGGTCCTGGAGTGGCTGGGAGCTGGACTGGATTGGGGCAAATCACTCCCCTCCCCAGTTTTCCCAATTATAAGAACTTCCTGGGAAGTAGGGGGCATGTCAAATATGTGATTACTGCATCAGAAAGTCTGAGTGTGTACCTTAGGAAGAGACATTTTAAAAAAGTTTTATTAAGGAATAATTCACATATTATAAAATTCACCCTTTTAAAGTTTGCAATTCAGTAGTTTTTAGTATAGTTACAGTGTTGTGCAGCTACCACTAATTCCTGAACGTTTACATCACCCTCAAAAGAAGCCCCATGACCATCAGCAGTCACTCCCCTCCCCCAACCCTGGTAAGCATTAATCTAGTTTTTGTCTCCATGGATTTTACATATTCTTCATAGTTCCTATAAATAGAAACATGGTTTTGGCATCTGGTTTCTTTCATACAGTGTAATGTCTTCAAGGTTCATCCATCCACACTGGAGCATGAATCAGTGCTTCATTCCTGTTCATGGCTGAGTAATATTCCATAGTAGAGACTACATGTTGTTCATCCAACCCTCAGCTGATGGACATTTGGATGGTTCCCACCTTTTGGCTGCTGTGAATCGTGCTGCTTTAACAAGCCCCCCCAAGGGACCCTGATGTACACTCAGGTTTAAGACTCCAGGACACTACCACTTTGCAGAGTGTAAGGCTGTAGCCCTTTCATCTAGTTCTTGCAAGAGCCCGGCCAGGTAAGCAGCAAGCGACACTGTCCCCATCTTACAGGTAAGAACACCAGGACAGTGGGCTCTGCCAGCTCTCCTACCCAGCCTGCCGAGGCCTCTCCCAACCTCAGCTTTCCCACCAGCTCTTTTCCTTTGCTCTTTCCCAGGCTGTGAAAATCAGGGAGGGAAGCCTCGCCAACTCTGGAACGCAAATATTTGCCAATCAAGAAAACATTCCCCCATCAATCAAAACCCAGACAAGCTGGCACACACTCTCTGCAGATGCCTGAGGGAGATTCTATTTTAGGAGGGAACAGGTGGCCTGCAGCTTCCCCTCCTCCCCAAACATCCGGGGCTCTTTCTCTTCCTATCTTGCTTGCAGATGAGGAGACTGAAGCTCAGAGGTCACACAGCATCCTGAGAGACCTCTTATTTATTTTCTTTTAAAGTAATGTCTTCATAAAGGACACAATGAAGAGAATCTCCAGGTCTGTAATGACAATTTCCAGTGCAGGCAAGCAACAGACAGCTTTCTAGGCGATGTGAGGGGCAGACCTCAGTTATGGTTTCATCTTCCCAACAGCCTGACCTGGGGCCGGTTTCAGAGGGTTAGAGAGGAAAGAGTGGGGTTTTCTGGGGTGGGGCAGCTTCCCTGTAGGAATACAGAACCCCGAAATCCTCCATCACATGTGCTCTGTCTTACAGCCTAATGATCAGGGTTTCAAACTCAGCCCCTTGCCTGACTCCACCAGTCCACCTCTAGCTGCTTCACCTCCTGGGAAGCTTCCCTAGCCTATTACTGACCCATCAGAATCTCTGGTTAAAATTCAACCCTCTGTCCCTACCCTGGACCCCAAGTGTGTGCATGTGCACACTGGGAATCTGCTGGGAGGGTTTGAGAACCACTGGTGTTAGGTTTCACACTGTACAGGGGGCACCTGGACCAACCAGGAGATGAGCACTTCAATAGTATTTGCTGCAACCGAACAAACATGCCCCTGTACAAGTCTCACCTGGGGAGCCTGCCAACGTGCAAATTCTGAGCCTCTTTCCCGCAGTTTCTGAACTGGAAGATGTGGGTGCGGTGGAGGAATTAGCATTTTTTTTAAGATATTAACCCATGTGTGTAGGGAGGACTGAAGATTGTAAAGTTAGAAGGAACAATGCCTTCCCTCACTCCGCGGGGGCCAGGTCACGCCGTGACCTATTAAATGCACTTACTCCTGGCTCCGAATCCACCCCCCACCCCCCAGGTTGACTCGTGGTGTTGGCGGGAAGGCGCCCAGGGCAGAGGAAGGGACGCTCAGCGTGGTTCCACGTGCAGGAGGGCCCGCCCGCGGCGCCAGGTGCGCGGCCCACAGCAGGGTTGTGCGGGGACACGGGAGAGGGCTTGGCCTATCCACGAGAGGGCGGGGTCTGCGCGCAGCCTCGTTCAAGCTCGCCAATCGGCGGGCTCGCAGCAGCCGCGTTCCCCACCTTCCGCCACGCCGCGGAGAGCGCCGCGTTCCTATAGGCCGGCTGAGGCTCCTTCCGGCCGTGGAAGGGGCGGGCCTCAAGTGGTGGCGGGAAAGCGGCGGCCGTGGAGCGTCTTCCCGGACGCTGAGGGGCCGGAGGCCGCGGCGAGTCCCGGTCCGGCCGCTGGCGCCGCCATGGACTCGGCCGAGGTGGAGTTCCTGGCCGAGAAGGAGCTGGTCACCATTATCCCGAACTTCAGTCTGGACAAGATCTACCTTATCGGGGTGAGGAGCCGGCGCCGGGGAGAGGCCGGGTCGGGGCTTGTGCGGACTCCGCGCGGCCGCCGACTCGTGAGGTCGGTTCTCCTTCCCAGGGCGGTGCCGGGCCCGGCTCCCACAGTTGTCGGCGGGCGGCGCTCGGGGCGCGGGGGGCGGGGGAAACGCCGCTCTCGGCCGAGTTCGCGCGCGGGCTCTTGTTTGTGTTTGGGCTTCAGCTTAGTGGGCGGCGGCGGCGGCGGCGGCGGCGATGCTCTGTCCCGTGTGACGGGGTGTGTGTCCTTGGGCAGGGCGACCTGGGGCCTTTCAACCCCGGCTTACCCGTGGAAGTGCCTCTGTGGCTGGCCATCAACTTGAAACAAAGACAGAAGTGTCGGCTGGTTCCTCCCGAGTGGATGGACGTGGGTAAGGATGTGGGGGAGGAGAGGGGGCCCTGGGGGCCGGGGGACACCCTCCCGCTGGTGGGGGCACGGGGTCCTTCAGCTGAAATCAGTGAATGTTTCCAGCCTCACCTCCCAGAGGCTGCTGGGAGCCACTGTTACTGATGGTCGTTGGGGTGGGGTTACCAACTGTAGTTCAGAATTTGATTCTAAGACATTTCAACTTGCTCTTAAAATTTTAAATATTATATAACGTTAAAGAAACTTTATTTTGAGTTACGGGGAGGGTATAGCTCAAGTGGTAGAACACGTCCTTAGCATGCAGGAGGTTCTGAGTTCAATCCCCAGTACCTCCACTGAAAAACCAAATAAATAAACTTAATTACCGCCCCCCTGCACACGCGCACACACACACACACGCAGACACACAAGCATGCTGAGGAGTAGTGCCATTATCTTACATTACAGAGGATGCATGAAAATAATGCGTCATCTGTACAAGGCAATATTATATGACCACCTGAAGGGATAAGGTTGTGACACATGGTACAACATGGATAAACCTTTGAAAACATTAAGCAGGAAAAAAAAACACCCCACACAGAGACCGCATATTGTATTATTCTATTCATATGAACTGTTCAGAGCAGGAGGATCCACAGAGACAAGGTAGATTAGTGGTCACCTAGGGGTGGGGGCTTGGGGGGTTGATGGAACAATTATAGGGTTCCTTTTGGGGTGATGTTCTAAAATTGATTGAAGTGATGGGTGCACACCTCTGTGAATATACTAAAAAGCCGCCACTAAGTTGTACAATTTATATGGGTGAGTTGTATGGTAGGTTGATTATGCCTCAGTAAAACTGTTGGAAACAAACAATACTGCATCAGAGATGCAGACAGACTTATCCTGAAACTTTGCAGTTGTCACCTAGGAGGTATGAGTGGCTTCTTAGGGTAAACAATCTTAAATTAACTTTATTCGGGGTCAGGGTTGGGGAGCATAGAGAATTTAAAAAGCATGAGTGGTTTTGATTGCCCCCTTCACTTTGGGAGTCACCTGGAGTCCCCCTCCTAGAAGCAAGGACATGGGGAGCCAGGCACACTCAAGTATAGTTTAAGAAAGACTGCTTGCGCAATTTGTCTTCATCCCTGTCCGATTAGGATGAGTGAATCTGGTGGTGTTCGGACATAACAGGAAAGTCCAGTTCCTTCTACTCTGCAGGGCTTTTGTTTAGCAGGAACTCCAACAGACTCTGGTTCTGTTAGCACCGCATCCTTGTCTGGCAGTTTTGGCCTATTCAAACCCAAGGAGATACGGCACATGAACCTGCCAGCGTCAGAGAGAAGGTGCAGAGAGAGTCAGCCTGAGCTTTTCACAGGCCTGGGCCGTACTCTGGTGAGAAGTAGTGAAAATCACTGGTGAGCCCGCAGGCCCTGCCCGGGAGCCAGCCGCTCCTCCTCCTGCCGTCATAGGTTGGTCCTGCCGGTTCCTGGGCTTCGTCTAAATGGAACCATCTGGCGTGTCAGTTGACTTCTCTGACTTCTTAACACAATGTTTTTGAGATTCAGCCCTGTTGTTGCACGTGTGGTTGCACCATTCTTCTATCACTGAGTCGTGTTTCATTCACCGAGTATTCCAGTTTGGTCACCCGTTCCTCTGCTGGTGGATATTTGGGTCATATTGCAGGCTGCCGTGAATGAGGCTGCGTTGAACAGTCTCAGCTGAGTCTTTCTGTGGGTATGTGTTTTTATTTCTCTTGGGTAAATAAATACCTAGAGCTGTGGAGTTGCCAGGTCATGGGGCAGCCTGTGCTTAACTTTGTTAGAAACTGCCACCCAGCCCTCCAGAGTGCTTGAGCCACTCTTATAACAATCCCAGCAGAAATGCAAGCAAGTTCCCATTTTAAAGAAAAAAAAAGTTCCTGGTGTTCCACTCCTGGCCAGCGTTGGCTGTTGTCAGTTGATTCATTGCAGGGTTTGAACAGGTATTTCATACTCTGTCCGATTTAGATGTTAGGAAGGAAAAGAATCAGTCTGCTGTGTAGAAAAGATGCGTGTGGGGAGAGGGCAGTAGGAAGTTATCCTGGCAAGAGCTCAGCGTGGCTTGACCAGTTAGTTGACAGTGTTGGGTGGAGTCTAGGTGCATTTGGAAGAAAGGATCAGCAGGATTTGCTGAAGGACAGGCCGTGGGACCTGAGAGATGAGAGTTAAGGGTGACCAGCAGGGTTGCTGGCTCGAGCTGCAGAAGGAGGGGGAGGCGCTGTTCCCTTAGACTAGGCAGACTAGGGGAAGTTTGAGGGTTGGAGGGGGAGCCAGGAGATGGATTTGATCATGTGGCATTGGAGGTGCCTGTTAGCTGCCCAAGTGGAGACAGTGTGGGCAGTCAGGAATTCTGGGGAGTGGCTAGTCTGGGGATACAAATTTGGAAGCCACCACAAGTGCATAGATGGCATTTAAATGATGTGGGATGAGAACACACGGGATGTAGGTTTAGGTGCGGAGAGGCGCCAGGAGCTGAGCTCTGTCCTCCAGTGTGTCGAGGTCAGGAGGGCCTGGAGGAGGTGGGGAGGTGGGAAGAGGACTCAGGGACAGTGGTGTTCCAGAAGCCAAGTGATAAATATACTGTGAGGATTGACCCCTGTCAGATGTGATGTGGCCCGAGTCGTGGCCATTGGGTTTGGCTGAGCAGAGGTGGTGTGTGTGAGCTGTTTCAGGGGGTGACACAGGCACCCACCTGAATGGTTGAGGAGAGGCAGTTACCGCCAGTGTCAGAGAGCCCTGAAGTTTTGCTGTAAAAGGCACAAGAAACGAATTGGTAGCTGGAGGATTTGGTTTCAGGGGAGGCTCTTCTTTTTCTGATGAAAGATGTTACATAGAGTTTGATAGAATGGTCAAATAGTGAAATACTGGTCACTAAAGAGTGAGAGACAGTTGCTGAGCGGTGGTCTGTGCAGGTCAGAGAGGAGGGTCAGGGCGGGGGCAGTTGCAGGGGGTTGAGCGATGTGGCCAGAGGGGGCAGGTGGGCGCCCAGTGAGGCAGCAGGTGAGAGATGAGGGGGAGGACGGGCGGCAGGATGGAGACCCTGAGGGTGAGGGTGAGCAGGGCCCGGAAGGGTCAGGGGCAGGACCACGCTGAGGGGGAAGGTGGCCAGCCATTCAAGGTGAGACTTGGCAGCACAGTGGTGTCTGTGTGGCCCTTTGCCATGGTGGGCACAGACTCAGGACTAGGATTTTCTCAGGCGCGGGGGAGGGACAGAGGGGTGGGATTGAGGCTGTTGCAGTGTGTGGAGCGTTTCCTGCTGGGTGGAGTTGGACTCTGCTGTTTTCTTCAGGTGTGGCTGCCAGCCCCCTATTAGCTGTAAGTTGTCTTGCTCTCTTCGGAACAAGGTTCAGTATAAATACGCCTCTCCAGTCACTGGTTCCTTTCATCCCTGCTTGCGTGTAGGTAGAATAATTTGCTCTTTCCCTAAGAAAAGAACTTCTGGCTCGGACATACTGTTTTTATTAACGTATTCTGTAGGCCAGAGCAACGACAGTTCAGCACGAGGGTCTATGTTCAATGCCTTAGAATAACCTCTAATGAAAAAAAAGACAAATGCATACATGTCTATGCATGACTGGGCCACTGTGCTGTAGACCAGAAATTGACACATTATAACTGACTATGCTTCAATTAAAAAATAATTTAAAAAAAAACAACAACAATATCAAAAATTTACCACCTTCTCTAAGAGAAGTGTTTGAGGAAATAGGCCGTGAATTACCTAGTTAGCGATAGACATTCTAAAGTTTTCCCCTCATGTTGTTAGTTGATTGGATGAGTAACATAGGTGCTTGGTAACTTTTGGAAGGTTTTAAAACTGTTTTGGTTATGGTCATGGTAAATTGTTGTTTACTTTTAAATTTCAGAAAAGTTGGAGATGATGAGGGATCATGAACGAAAGGAAGAAACGTTCACCCCTATGCCCAGCCCTTATTACGTGGAACTCACCAAACTCCTGTTAAACCAGTAAGTACCTCGCGCTTCCTGGAACCCACACGCAAGCTGGAGCTCACATTTCTCACCCCCTCCTGCCGTGTTCCACACTTGTTACCGAGGCACGGGGTATCTCTGGCCACCCCGTTCCTCTCCTTGGTCAGTGATCTGGGAGTCATTGTGGGCATGCGCACACTGCCCCGGGGCCTTTCTCTCCTTTCTCCCTTTTCCCTCTCTCCACCCTTCCCTCTCCCGGTAAATCCTTGGGTCTCCATTCTGCATGCTGACGGCCACTTGATACTGGACTCCAGGATGAGCCTCTGCCTCTCTAGCAGTAGCCTTTTTCTTAACTGCAAATGTTTTGTTGTAAAGCTGTACCCCTTTCTCCTTTGGGCATGTGCATTGGAGTTCTTGCATCTCTTTCATAGGAAAGGCCCAGGGCTCACAGTTGCCTCCGACCCTGAGCTCTAAGGAAAGTGCACTAGGGGCAAAAATGTGCTGTAGTGACTTCTTGTGTCCCCTCGTCCAGTCCAGGCTCCCCATCAGCTTCTAATTCATTCTCCATCTTCCAGCCAGAGTGGACTTTCAAAGATAAAGCTGCCATGTATCCCCTCTTCTCCTGGGAGCCTCTCCAGGGTTTGAGGGCCTCATGACGGTCTTTAAAGCACCGCAGAGCCTGCTTCCCTTCTGCCTTCTCACAGCCTCCTAAGGTCCGCTCTTCCCTCTCATTGTCCAAGTTCCAGGCTCACGTTGGCCTCTTTCACTTCTTTACACACACAGAGCTTGTATATCCCTCTGCCCAGTAAGTCCGTCTCGTCTCTGCTTCCTCCTTTGGTTTCACATAAAGGTCCTCCCTCTCAGGTTGAGTGTACCTGTCCCCCTAGCAGCTCTGTGTACCTCTGCAGCGTTTGTCGGTTGTAATTCTCTAATTGTATGCCTGTGCTGTCCCCCCGCCTCCAGTTCAAATGGGCAGGGACTGTGTCTTGTATGTGCCAGCACAGTGCCTGCTGCTGTTTGTTGAACGAATGAATGAATGAATGAAAATCTGTGGAGGGGGCAGGCAGTTGTGGATACTTTGCTTAGGAGATACTTGGAGTACGTTATCTACTGTGGTCTTGAAGGGCTGTTCTTTTTTAAGTGGGAGCATTCCTGTGTAGACTGTGTGTCTTAATAGTTTTGTTGTGAGGGCTGTTCTTAGTATGGATGGTCGCCACGTCTTTCTTCCGTGCGTGCTGGCCGTCACCCCTCTGATTGGGGGTGTGGCTGGTGCCGTGATCAGAGCCTGCCCTGATTGTTGTTGCGCGGGGCTTCCTTTTTCATTCTGTGGTTGTCACATTAGGAGATACTTGGAATGTAATTTGCAAGAAGTCAAGCTTTCGAAGCCCTGAGTACCTTTTCATTGATGGATTCAAGAGGGGAACTAGAACAAAAATTGGCAGCTCCCTACTGCCTGCCGTAGAGCAGCGAGGGTCAGGGGCCCGCCGAGCAGCACTGCGGAATTCAAATAAAAATGTGCATGATGTGGACTTGTCCTTAAGCTGATCCGGGGCTGCAGTTCACAACATTCTGAGCGTAGTGTGCTAAACTGAGTGTTGCACCGGGTAGTGGAGACAGTCATGCAGGCTTGAGTTCCGGTTTTGTGGGGAAGAGCTGTGACCCTGTTAGCAGGTAGTTACCCTGCAGTGTCATAAATGCTGTTCGGAGGGCAGTGGATGCAAACCTAACACCCGGTGGTGCCAGAAGGGATCCCTGGCTTAGAGGAGGAGGGATAACTTACTAGGGGAGGGGGCAGCGTAGGTAGAAGGACAGAAGTGTGAGAGGCCATGGTGTGTCTGGGGAACCAGAGCTGCCGGGACACATCCAGACACGTTAGCTGTGCGGGAGGGAAGCCTGTGGTGGCAAGGTCCCTGGGCGGGTGTCACGGGAAATCTGAGAGGACCACTGTGGCGGTGGGGGCAACTCGGGGGAGAATACAGAAGCAGGGGAGAGAATATGGAAGCAGAGGTGAGACTTGTTCATCTTTGGTTTTTCAGTTCAGCACGTTATGTATGCTGTTCCTTTTGAAGCCCTTGTTTTATAATTCTTTACAGTAATTCGCTCAGCGGGGAGACCTTTGTTCTGCAGTTGTTAACAAGAACCCCGGGTCCTTTGTTCTCTAACCTGCAGTCCAGAGCTTAAGATCCAAATGTTTGGATCTCAAATAAAATCTGCGACATAAATTTTCACCACTGATTCTCCATCTACTAAATCACAAGCTAATTTTCGAATGTGGAAAGACCATCCATCTCTAGCTTCTCCTAGAATGTCTGGTGATGAAATGTGCTGGCTTTTGCTTTTGTCTTCTAGTTTCATTCTTCCTTCAAAGATGAGTTTTAAACTAAAGTGTGTCACCCAGGAAGGCAGGCTGTTAGTGCCCCGCGCCTGCTTCAGCCCAGGCCTGTCCCCAGCGCTTGCTCCTGTGCTGCCGATGCTCACCTGGGACTTCTCCTGATTTCTGCAAATCTGTGTTTTCCCTGAAGAGTGGGACACCGCCTGTCCTTCAGGGCTTTTGTGAGGGTGGGACTGCTGTGCAGTGCCGCGCAGTGCCAGGCAGAGGTGTGGTCTTCTCTCCCTGGTGGGTTGCTGCCCTCTTGGATAACTGGTAGGGTATTAGCGTTAGAAGCCATGACCTCTGAGCTAGCCCTTGAAAGAAATTAATTCTAGATGGAAATTCTACAGCACAGAACACTCAGTTATCCTGAGACAGACGATGACCAACTGAGAGCTAATTCTCTTTTAGGTAAACTTCAAGTCCTGGTACCACACCTGCCGTGGGACCATTAACGAGAGCCCAGATAACTCAGTGTGGATCATGGCTGAATTTTCTCGGCACCAAGCTTAACTGCTAGAAATCCTTACATTTTAAAATGGAAAAAACAGAGCATAACCAATTTGGAGTCTAGAACAGCTTGTGCACTTTGCCTAAATCCAAAGAAACATTTAAAAAGAAACCACTTCCACCTGGATGGTGGTTTAGTTCGCCGAGTGCTTCCTTGTGCAATTTATGTCACCTTTGCTTCCCTTAGTGCTTCGGACAACATCCCGAAAGCAGATGAGATCCGGACCCTGATCAAGGATGTGTGGGACACTCGCATAGCCAAGCTCCGGGTGTCTGCTGACAGATTCGTGAGACAGCAAGAGTCACATGCCAAGGTGGGTGCGCAGCAGGCCTGCCCACGAGGGCCTGACATCTGCATTTCGTCTGGGGTGGGGGGCGTTGCAGGAAGAGATTACTGGCTGTGCTGGGCTCTCAAAAAATTACCTACTCGTTTCTTATTTTTATCCAGTAGATTTGATCTTTTTCTCGAAGGCAGAAACTCAAACCAACCCAGCCTGTTCTCCCTTTTGTTTTAGCTGGATAACCTCACCTTGATGGAGATCAACACCAGCGGGGCTTTCCTCACACAAGCGCTCAATCACATGTACAAACTCCGCACAAACCTGCAGCCTCCTGGAGGTGCCCAGTCTCAGGACTTCTAGGGAGACTCTGGTTTGTAAAGGCCTCGTGTCTGCCGGCAGGAGGCTCCCCAGCTGGTGAGTGCGTGCTCAGGACTTGACGGAGGTACTCACATTTCTGGAGCGCAAGAACTACTTCTGAACGTGTGAAAAAAAAAGCTCCGTGAAGCAAGGAATGGATTTATAACGTTGGGAAGCAACAGGCTTGTGCTTAGTCCCCAAGGCGCTCATTAATTCCCCGTCTGTATCTAGCAGCCAGCTGTCCTTTTATAGGGGTGGAGGAGAAAAAGAGCTTTGGCAAAACAATTTTCCCCAGCAGAGACTCAGGTCTCCTGCACAGAACTGTCACAGGCAGGTGAGTATTCACTAATGTCAGGCATTGCTTTTAAAAGATAGAGCCACAGTAGGAATGCCAGTGGTGGCTTTGGCCCTTTTTCTTTCTTGCTACTGATCACTTGGATTTAATTTAGAATGTCCTACAGAGGTAGTTCACAGAGAGGATAGCAGACGAGTGGCCGGTGACAGCGAGCTGTGTCCATCTGAGCCCTGACACACAGTAAAGATGGATTAGCCCAAATCTCTGTTGGGTTTGTTTCCTGCGTAACTACCCCGACAGGGGCGAGCCAGGTGGCTAAAACAGCCTGATCGACCAAATAGAGAGGTAGGTAGCAGGTGGCCGTCAGCTTCAGCCCAGGACTCTGCACGTCTCGTTCTCTTGTCTACTCCTGGGTCGGGTCTAAAGGGTGGCTCATCATCAAGGGGAAAGTCAGGGAAAAATTAATTCCGTGTCACTGAGTGTGAGGGTGAAGCTGAAACACGACACCAGGAGGGAAAGTGGGGACGTGGTGCTGGACGGACTGTTACAGGCAGTGGTGGCTCGAGAGGTATTTTACTTTCTCCCTAGGAGAAAAACGTGTAGCTGTAGCATTCTGGAATGGCTACGTTCCCTGTAGAAAGCTCTTACCTGAAGAGGGGAATGATGGTCTACTCGCGCGCGTGTGGGTTCAGTGAGCAGCTGTTGGCAGCAGTCGCAGCGGCAGTCAGAGGCAGTGGTGCACCAGCTCGGGGGCTTTTTGAGGCGTGGATGTGCTTGATCAAATGAGGCTAGAGTGCCTGCTGGTCTCTGCCCTTCAGTGTTTCAAGTACAAGCCTCAAGTTACTCGAGCACTGTTTCTCCAGCCCAGATTGGTGCCTAGCTGTCCCTCCAACAAACAGCTGGTGGCTCTTACTTGAGCACTGAGGGCCAGATGTGGAGGGATCAGGACCCCAAAGACCTAGTCCTGCCTCTTCAGCTCGCTCTTACACAGAGTCCTTCAGATGTACTTTGGAGACTCTTCTAGCATGAAACGAGCTACTGTGGCAGCTCGGGAGCTGTGCGTGTCTCAGGTCTCACCCTGAACACCCTTCTCTTAAAGCCTGGCTGAGGTGCAGCCCGGCCTGTCTGCGCGGTTCACCTGCAAAGCTGCAGGATCGTCGAGCTTTTGTTTTTGAGGGGCTTTATTGCAACATAAAAGATTTTTTCTCAACATGATTTAGGAAGATTTTATTTTTTGAATGTTGTCAGAAATTACAGCAATATATTCATAAATACCTAATTACTACATTCAACAAATAATATTACGATACAATTAATTCAAACAAGTACACTTAGAACAGGTTTAATTTCACAGCATCTAAACTGTCCCCAGAGTGACCGAGGCACCGTCCCTCCTCCCTCCCGTCCTGGCTCACTGTTCTAGCAGGTAAGCACAGGGCACACACACAGCAACACAGCCGATCAGCGTGGGCTTCCTCAGGTCAAGGCAGAGCTAAGGGGTGTAAGTGAAGCGCTGGATCAGAAAGTTGGGGACAGACTAATGCAAGTAGTAAGAAAAGTCAATAGCTTGGTTACTTGAAAGAGCACAGGGACTGCTGCCAAGTGGCTAACATACACTTGAGGAGTCACAGCATGGACGGTGCTGACCGTCTCCATCTGGTGGTGGGTCCTTGGAACTTTCTACACCTCAAACCATGGCTCAGAGGGAAAGGGGGTCTGATTTAATTTTTGAGATGTGGTAGCATTGTGAGCTACTTGAAGCACCATCCCATGTATGAACTTTAAGATTTCCTGTTGCAATTCTCTGCTGCTGAAGGTGTGGGCTCCTCTTAATAGTCTGAATTTCCCTGAGGGCATAATCAATGCCAATCAAGTGTTTTATTTACTGTAGAATATAGACTAAGCTGTTGAAAGTCTTGGTCACCTGTCTGAAATAATCGATTAAGATCATGCTATTTTATGTCAGTTTGGCTCTGATTATATGAAACAAAGAAAGCCTCATTTTCAAAGGATCAGGTTGTGTGGTGCCAAGTTTGGGGGAAAGCTCTGGGTGGTTTCTGACAATCTAACTGTACAAGCCCAGGACTCAGCTTTGGAAGAAATCCCTCACAAGGTCAGTGAAAGCACCTTCGGAGGACAGATGGCAGCGTCTCTCCCAGGTGCTGCGGGAAGACGCGCGGTCGTGAAGCACTGAGGTCTTCACAAAAATACTGGCAAAAGTTCCATAATCAATTCGATTCTAGGGCAAATGTGGTGTTTCTGAACGTTGTCATCGCAGTGTGAACCAGCTGAAAACAGTGGCAGGGATTCCCTATTTGTGAATTTTTGTTAAGCCCAGGCTGGAGAGAGACTTATGCTCCTGCGCTCTTTCAGAATCAGTGTTTTCAGATTATTAACTGAAAAAGCCACGACTGGGTACTGTCTCAGTGGTGCACTTCTGTTTTCAAGACACTTTCTTACCTTTTTCTTAGTTTATTCATGCTGCCTCACTGGTTTACATCATATTCTGATTGATTGTCATATTACTTCTCGAGCCCGAGCACATTCAGAGAGCCGCACGGATGGTTGGGGTACCACGCGGCAGAGCGATGGAGAAGCTCCAGGGGGTGGGGGGGGTGTCACTCGTATAGAGGGAAAAGGTCGTTAGTTTAGCTCTTGGTGACACAGCTTCCCTGCCCCGGGCAGGCATCCCTTGAACCCTCCCCTAACTAAAACCCAGCTGAGAGGGTCCCCTCGGGTGGAGGGCTGGTCTGTGCTTTTCTTCCCCATCAACTTAAATGGACTACTTTTCCCTCAGTGCTGAGTAGCAGAGGCGGCCAGACCCCTGTGATGGAGGAAGAGGACTGGGGGTGAAGTGTAAGATGTAACTCAAACCTTCAGACCAGGAACAGTAAGCAGATTATTAAGAGAAATTCAATGATGTTTGGCCCTGATGGTCGGCTGTGGGGCTCCCTCTGAACACCTGTGCCCACCTGTGGAACACGGTGCCCTGCGTCTTCGCAGGTAAGGAGGCCCACAGAACAGCCCTTAGTTTTTGTCAAGTCAAGTCATGTCTGTAGAGAGGAAGGTGCTGGCTGACTGCTGGTAATACTGGCGGCACTTTCTGAGTTTGCTAATAACTGGAAGAGTCTTGGCAGACATACAGAGCAAACTGTGTGGGAACAGATAAAGCCACACGCTGCCATCTGCCAGCAAGCTGTTCCACACAGCTAAGGTCTAGGGCTGAGGGCATGGCCACCGGTCACAGGGAATGGCCTTCCTGAAGGTCAGCCAGCCCTTCCCTGGCCCAGGACCAAGGGGCTCCTCCCCTTCTTTCCCGCCACAGACCAACCACTGGCTGCTATGGCCTCTAGTTCAGGCCCATTGGGGCACGAGAGCCCCTCCTGATCTGGATTCAGCACTGCTTGAATGAGCAGTGAGTGGGACGGGAAGGAAGCTCTCTCTGCCCGGGCTCTGCACTGATAGGATGACGCCTGCTCCTAGCTGCTGCTGTGCTGTCACAGTAGGTTCAAGAGGAGTTGTGCTCAGATACCATTTATCCTACTTTTAGGCTGTTACAAAGCGCTGCATCTAAAGCCCCTAACTTGCTATTTTGCAGCTGCTCTCAGACTGGACACAGGAACTGCTCACTTCCCAAAGCCCCGTGTCCGTGTGCCCGTGAAGGTGCACCACAGTAGCTACGGTGTTCCCACTGCAGACCAGCCTCTCCTCACTTAATAGCAACTGGTTAGCGTCGCCATCTGCTGTCTGAGCAGGGAAGGGGCACAGGCGGAGGTAAAAAGCAGCGCAGGGCTTTCTACATGACCTTCTGGTGCGACTCAAAAATGAAGTGATCGCATAGGCGCCAGTGGTAAGCTCTTTTACTTTTCTTCTTCTTTAATTTTTAAAAACACTTCAGTATTTTAATGTCCTGACCAGCAGCAGTACAAACACTAAAAGCAAGTTTTTGCCCAAAAAAACAAAAACAAATAAAACCCCCAAACAGGAAAACAAACAACAAAAATCCCCCCAAACCACATATTAAAAATGGCAGGCTTTTTTATAACAATAATTAAAGTAATAAAAACATACAAAACTTTGTTTTTAATATATATACACAGTACAAGGCTGAA